AATGTTGCTGTTTGTTTGTTGCAGCACAATGTTGCTGTTTGTTTATGCTTGTTAAACACAAATTTAAAGTGAAATATTTTTTAATCACATTTCATCGCAATTCTTTTCATAGTTTGAATCAAAATGGGGCCAATCATTATGTTATTTCATGGAATGCAAAGGTAAGATTCTCATTTATAACCACTGCATTAAAGTTCACATTTTCTCTCCTGTATAAACGCATTCCTTCACAAACAAAGTAACGTGTTATATGCCACGCAAATGGTCACATGCAGCACATCACACGCACGTCATGCGGTGATCACAAGCAGTTGTCACACGTTATTGTCGTCACTCGTCACGCATGAGTGCGCACCCTACGAGAGGGATGCGTGTGGTCACATCACACACACCGCAATCTGGCCCCGGCTTATAAAGTCATAAATAATCTCCTTTGTTCGAGTGTTAGCTTTACGATTTGAGACGAGGATTGTATACACAATACGCGATCATCATTGTTACTGTACACTCTTACTTTGGCACATTGTACTTAAATTGAGTAGCTGAGGATTACTGTACACTCTTACCTTGGCACGTTGTACTTAATTTGAGTAGCTGAGGGTTACTGTACACTCTTACTTTGGCACGTTCAAGTGTACTTAATTTGAGTAGCCGAGGGTGAAAGCTTTTGGGGTTTCGATAAATGATGAAGTGTGCGGTTTCATCGGGAAATGAAAAGTTTCGCTTGAAAGGTTTCATCGAATGTCAATTTCGTTGATGAAGTGATGAGGAATGGTGTAGCGAACCACATGCACTGCACAACTCATGCACTGTAATGAAGTTCACTGCATAATACAACGAGTGACAGTCACTGCTGTGCGGTGCACTGCATAACATCACGCTTGACAATCACTGCTATAATTCTCTCGATCAAGGGACATCGTTATATTTATCTTTAGAATTTCAAACACTGATATTTTTTAGAATCAACGTTAAAATTTTATAAATGCATCTAATATGTAAATAAATATATATAAATACATAAATATCAACATAAATGCATGTAATATGTAAATAAATATACATAAATACATAAATATCAACATAAATGCATGTAATATGTAAATAAATAAATATAAATACATAAATATAATATAAATGCATGTAAATGATTGAAGGACAAGAGGATTATTATGAAAAACATTTATTTAACATGCCTGCTATTAGTATCAATGATAAGCAGGAGACGTATGCAGGGTTATGCGCCTATACGAATATCATGCTTTCGCATTCTATATTCAGGTAAATCCACTAGATTTGCCTCTAATCAATTATCTCAACAATTGCTATTCGTTTATTTACTATTTTAGCCATAGATAAATTAACATTTATGGGGAATAAATATTTGCTATAAAGTTTTGCAAGTCGTGTTACGTTAAAAAAATGTAGAAATTATTTAAATTTCAAAAATTTTGGGAGATAAATATTGATCAACCTGTAATAATCTCTACACGACGGACAGCTCCAGTCAAGTCATGGCTTTGTGACTGTGCTAGTGAGATCCACATTCGATCATAACAAGAAAATATGACTTTAACTTGGAGACTTGCGTCCGTTTTTAACAGACGCGCAACTGCAATGCGACATGTGACTTCGATTTTCGTATTTTCCTTAACTTAGAGACTTGCAGCATTACAACATGACTTGCACATGGAGGCTCGCATCGCCCGAGATTCATATTTTGCCACAAATGAGCAAAGTGGCGTAGATGTGGCGGCAGGACGTGTTGACGTGGCGGCAGGACGTGTTGACGTGGTGGCAGGACGTGTTGCCGTGTTGACGTGGCGGCAGGACGTGTTGCCGTGGCGGCAGGACGTGTTGCCGTGTTGACGTGGCGGCAGGACGTGTTGACGTGG